GCAAGGGTTCTTCTGGAGCTGCTATACGTCCTCGGTGGTTTTTTGAAAACTTGATGGTATCCTTTTGCTTATTTTCTTATTTCTATTATGATGAATTCTATGTTCTACTTCTATATGTTGCTTGTTTGCTCATTTAACTCCTGTTATAATAGATATCTTTAAAGCTTCCGGTAAAGTCGGGACGCAACATGATGTTGAAGAGTTTTTTCTCTGTTTGTTGGAGAGACTTTTGGTGTGCAGCCCTGATGTAAGGGAGAAAATTTTCCAGGGTGTTTGGATGAGCAAGGTAGGAACCAAAGATTATTTGTTCCCTATTTACAATTTTGCATTCAATTTGGCTTTTTGATTGTTTTGTCTTTGTTTTTGCAGGTGGAATGTTCAAACTGTCATCACAAGTCGTCTCAAGAAGAACATTTTCATCACATCAGTTTAGGAGCTGCCGAGTCCCTACAAAGCTTCTTCGATGGTGGAAATGTTGCGGATTATAGATGTGAACAGTGTCAAATGGTTGGAGTCACATCCAAGGAGGTTCGTCTCCAAGTTGCACCCACAATTGCAGTCTTGCAATTCAAAATTTTTGAGAAGGAAGAAGGCTGTCCCTCCAAGAAGATTCCACATTACGGAAGCTTTCAAACTGTGATGGACTTGACTCCTCATTCTACAAACAAGACGGTAAGAAAATTCTATTTAATACAAACTAAATGTTGAATGGTTAAGTGTGCTTGCTGAATGTTTAGTTCTTGTGGTTTTAGGTTCATCTCAAATACAACCTTTATGGGGTTGTTGTCCACCTTGGTGAAACTCTTGAAGGTAGTCATTACATATGTTTCATCAAATCCATGGGCAAATGGCACCAGATCAGTGACCAACTGGTAAAAAATATAGATTCAATCATGTAGGATAGAACAATATATGTGGTATATATTAATTCAATTTGTACCATTTCTTTGTAGGTGGAAGAGACTGATGAGGAAGTGGTGTTGGAGCAAGCAGCATATATTCTGTTCTATGAGAGAGATGATAGGGAGTAATGAGAGAGAGATGATAGGGAGTAATGAGGAGAGTAATGAGTATTAGGTTGACATTGGCTTTTTGTTTCGTTGAATAGTGGAGTGGGGTTCTAGTGCCCACAAAATACAAACATGAATCTGCAGTACAAATCAGAATACAAAGAGTTGTAGTTGTTGCGGGCAATGTCATTACCGGTAAATTGGTCACTGGGTTTACTACAAACGTTCATGTTTGATCACTACAAATATTTAATTCAACTCGTGGTCATTAAGATTAGTTCAATAGTTCATGCATGGTCACTCTTCGTTAGAGATGGCAACAAAATTCGAATCTATGGGTATCATACCCAACCCAACCCGATCAACGCGGGTAAAATCTGCGTTGATGGGTCGAGTTGGGTTCGGGTTTAAACCCATATACTATTCATCGAGTTGGGTTGGGTTTGAGTTTAGGGATACTCGATCCATGGATACCCGCCCACACTCGTCGTCCTACTCTCCCCAAACCCTACCCTAATTCTAATTTCCCCCAATCTAACTCTCGCTTCACTTATTCTGTGTGCTTTTATTTAGTGTAATTGTGATTTGTTTGAATTTTCAAGAGTGGTGTTTTATGTATGAATAATTTGTATGGGAAAATTGATGTTTGAATTTTATTTTTATAGGAACTTGTTATTGTAAATTTTTTACCACAAAAACCCATGGGTACCCATGAACCCATGGATACCCAGCGAGTTGGGTAGGGTTTGATTTTTCCAAATCCAGTGGGTTTTCCTTATCTTTTTTTTTTACGGATAAACTCATGGGTTTGGGTTTGGCAAAACCCGACCCAACCCGATTCATTGTCATCCTTACTCTCCGTTAGTCTCCGTTAATTTTTGTTGATTTTGCAATCAACCTTCATAGTTGATCGTTAGATGAGTGACGTGGCTATTAAAAAATTAATAAAAAAATTAAATTTAATCTATCATAATTTCCACTTCATTACACATTCACTACAAAATAAATTAAAACCCTAATTTTTTCTATTTGGTTGTTCCCTTTTTTGGTCCCCTTTCTATTCCCCAACTCCTCATCTCAAACTCCCCTTCGACAAAACCCAATTGAGAGAAAGGAGAAGAAAGCCCCAAAAGGTAGGGGTGTTCAAATGGTTACCATGGTTATAACCAAACCAAATGAGGCTAAATTCCATTAACCATGGAATACAATATCATAACCAAACCGTCCAAACTAATATAACAACCAAATTTACCTAACTAAAGTTTAATCGGTTTGGTTAATTGGTTAACCAGATTAACCAATATAAAATCACATTATCATTGACGATAAAAATTTTCCGGTTAATGCAACAATCCGCAATTTATATAATGAATAAAACATAACAACCAACACGTAGTTATAGTTGACCCTTAACAAAAATACATGCAACTAAGACAATTATCTTACTATTAGTATAGAAGTATTCACCTAACAAAAATTTATGACAATGGTATGTTAATGAATTGTTGTGTTTGTGTAAATTGACTTAGTCTCTTAGCAATTATCATAAGCTGGAAATAACCTTCCTTTCAAGTTTTGTCCCCTTTCTATTCCCCAACTCCTCATCTGAAACTCCCCTTCGACAAAACCCAATTGAGAGAAAGGAGAAGAAAGCCCCAAAAGTCCACACTACCCCCATCTATTCTCCTTGCGCTTCCTCTAGACTCGTTTGTTCCATCCACTAATTCATCCATTAATTGCTTCTTCAACATGATAGTTGACTCCGTCAACAATCTCAGCAACTCCGCCACTACCCGCCTTTTCTTCCCTTGCTCTTCTTCCCCTACAATTGAATGGAGAATATAGGGAGAGCTCCTCTCTCACACTATTGTCTAATATAGCGTTTTCTTAATAAAGGTTCCCATACACTAACCCCTTAATGAGTGAACCATAGGTCCTAATTATCTAAATCATAAACTATAAACCCTCATATGGTGCATTGATTTTTTTGCCTATATTTGGATGAATCATAACCGTCGATTATTGTTTATAATTAAATTGATCTTGGGGTATAATATTTAGAGAATTAAGACCTAGATTTTTAACTTTAAGGGTTAGACTATAGTATCATGTCCTAAAGATCAGTCAATTCAAGTTCTGGATAGCATTTTCTTACTCAAGGTATCCGGTACCCCGGATTTCACCCTGGGTACCATAGAACTCCCTATATATATATATATATATATATATATATATATGGTGACTTCTACGGTGCCCAGGGCAAAACTCGGGGTACGGGTACCTTGGCCGATCTTAACCATTCATTCTCAATCTCCACGGCTCACGTTTGTTGAACCTAACTGCGCCACTAAATAACTAAACAAATTACAAAAAGCCTCCTTACGCGTTAAGATTGTTTTCATCCTAGTCCAACTAACCGCCCCGATTAAATTAAATGGATTAAGACTGCAAACCCAATTGGGTAGACCCACTGCCGCCCTAACCAATTTCCAGTCTCCCTAACCAATTACACGATCCCTCTCTCGTCTTGGAGGGACGCCCCTTCATAGTTCCAAGAAAAGCTCCCCATCCAATTTGAACTCCCCAACTTAATCATCTTTTTGAATCCCAATTACTTGCATCCACATTCGACGTAGTTTGAATTACCGATTTATTTTGTCTTGTTTGTTCTTCGCCAATTTATTTCCTCTCGCCTATCTCTTTCTAACACGATTACGGTGACCATGTCTATTATTGTGTTCATCAAACTTTTCATTTTGCTAACCCTAGGGTTCATGTCGCTAGTGCTTTGTCATCTTGTCTTACCGTTATTGTCATTTTCTCGAAACTTCTATCACTCGGTGAAATTAAGGTTTCCTGATATGTAATGTTCGTCTCGTCCAGAGGATTGAGGAAGGAGATGAAGAAGACAGAATTTGATTCGAATCGGATGGAGAGGTCTCCTTAATTTGTGTTATGTATTAACGGTGCGTTTAGGACTAATTCTAGTTGGACTAGGTCTGATCATTGATTTTTGCAGGCTTTTAAATAACATTCAAAAGTGGGCTTGTACATGATCCATGCATATTCAAAAGTGGGCCTGGAACGTGCGAGCCCATTTCATTTCTCCTGCTGTATCAATTTGTGCGCCAACCGTAGTTTAACTAACATGACTTACCCTAGTTTAACCTACACGAGTTACCATCATCATTACATATCTTCCGTAATCTTCTAACTCTTGACATTCCAGACTCAACCCCCCACGATCACTTTTTCTTACACCTACATTCTCTCTCTCTCCTCCATCTTCACCTTCCCCTTGTTCCTTCTTCCTCCAGACTCCATGGCAAAGAAAATTAGATCGTTTGCGGAAATGGGGATACTATCTCTATCAAACGAAGACTGTCGATCCACCGCCAGTCTCGGTGACTATCTTTCGTTTACAAGCAAAACCGCCATTGTCGCCGAGTACGAGTTCATCCACCTAAGTCCTTTCCCTCCAGAAGTGAAGACGTTAATAAAAAATCTTGGTTGGGAAAATTTCTTTGTTCTCCAGAGTCGAGGAAGCACAAGTTACTGCCCCTATGTCATGAGGAAGTTCTACCACAATCTACAGCTTTCTGGTCCCTCTGATTCTCATCTGGTGTCGATCTTCCTCGGACATAGAGTCTGCTTTCAGCCTCATCAATTTGCTGAGATCCTTGATCTACCCGCTGGAGGAGACCCTAATGAGAGCATAAGCGATCTTGGGCGGCTGTACGATTTTGAGTTTGAAGTTGAACTGACGAAACTCACGAAGGGGCGCATCCAGGCTTCTTTCCTCCCAAATCCTCTTCGATTCCTCCACTGGTTGATCGTCAACTGATTCCTTCCAAGGTACTGTGGTCATTCCATTATTCGTAAACTTGACTTGTTTATCCTTGTGCAAGCTCAAAGAGGTGTTCCTGTTAACCTCGCATCTCTAATGTGCCTGAACATGGTCGAAGATGCTCCCAAAGGGGAAAACTGGTATACTGCCTTTCCCTATGCCACCTTCGTCATCACCTTTCTTGAAAGGGTTGGAATGGATCTGAGCGTTTATGTTAAGGAGGACCAGTGCGTTTATTTGCCGGTGTACCGTATAGCCAAATTGACCAATACTTTTGTTGAGAATCGGCATACGGAGCATCAAGAGACCCCTGAGGCCTCCACAAGCAAACATAATTGGCTTACATGAGAGTCGATTGATGCAGGGCGGGGTGGAGCGTTGGAGCAGCAAAGGGGCCAACAATGGATGTCTTCTGTTAACAAGTTTACTAAGTCTTTGTTGGGTTTTTTTTTTCCAGTCTTTTGTCTTTTCCTTTATTCTCCAGCACTCAAAACTGTCAGGTACTGAGGGGAGCCAGTACAACATCTGACTAGGAAAGTCTCTTATTTTGATTTTTGAAATGTCCAGACCTTGATTTTTCTATGCATGCAGTATTTTTTGAATTTGCCATGGCTAGGATCCCTAAGACAGGTGACGAGATGCAGTAATGGTCATCTCCAATGGTACAATTTTTGTGACTTGCAAGATGATGTGGCAAGGAGGTGCAATTGCATCTTTAAATTGCTATGATGTGAGAAGCTATTGCAAGGGTGCAAATTTGCAATTCAAATGGATCCGTTGGTGGGCCCTTTTTTACTCTTTTTTAAAGATTTTAGATGATGGACATGATATATAAATTGTGAAGTTGAGAGTTGAGAAGTGGTGTTTTCTCAAAATTGTAGAAGTAGAAGTAGGGACTACTTATGAAATTGCAAATGAATTTCATTGGGGGAGATTTTAATCCGCTTTTGTTCTAAGCAGTTCCAATTAGGTCTAAGAATGTGTTACTTATTTCATCTTTAATTTTTAATGGTTTTCAAAAATTATGGTTTTATTTATATTTGGTCACAAGTATAGTGATGATGATAGGCGTGAATAGTATGGATTTCAAATGGCTTGATTATAATGATTTTTCTTATCTATTGTGATTTTTTTCCCTTTTTCATCAAGACTCGTGCTTCTTTTATTCCCCCGGTGAATCTATCATGCTTCGTTTATAGTAAAATACCCTTTTAATTATACACAATAAAGAATCCATTAATTATGTAAGCCTTTTTATTGTATTTATTAATACAATGAATTCTCTCACTAAAAGGGGAGTGCATACATCGTTGATGGAAATTCAAGGAATGGAAGCATATCCATATCCTAGGAACGTTAAATTAATTACCTAAGAATTTTCTATCTGCCTTGTACGGGTTTTCTTCATTAATTATGCTGATTGGGAGCCAATCAGTTTTACTTTTTGGGCTAACCATACATCAATGCAAATTTAATTAGACGATGGCAATTGGGAACAAAGTGGAATGATATGATCTCAATTAAACCTCTCTACAAGATACAATGGATTGAAACAGAAGCAACCTCACTCACAAGTTGGAAGCTGGAATTTTGGTCAAGTCCCTTTGCCATTTCGGGTAGCTCACTTTGGAAGCCTGTTCGTCACGCATGGCTCTATGAAAATGAGATTTTATTGATTTGAATTGAACCTGGGATGTTTGTGAACACCTGGGATTACTTGGGAGCTGGAGATCAAGTCCAGAAGGTCCCTTTTCAAGTTGTGCAAAAGTGTAACTGGAAAGCTGGAAATTTCCACTTGTTGGCTAAGGTAGTAGCCAGGTTAAAGCTAGATACTTTGAGACTCGATTCGGAAGGGATGGCTGTCCGAAAAGTCAATATAATTTCCACGAAAAGTCAATATAGTTTCCACGAAAAAACAAAACAAACCACACCAAAAAACAAATATAGAAAGCTTTCACCAAACCAAACCAAACCAAAAATGGTTGTCCATCATCTTGAAAAACAAAACATAACATGGTTGTCCATCATCTTGGAAAAAAAAAAGCAAAATCAGGTTGTCCTTGGCCTCTTTGACTGGGTTTCCTTGTGCTCTTCTCTTTCCTTTTTCCTCCTTTCATGGGCTTTCTTGTACTCTTCGACTGCAGCTTCAACTTGAGGTGCAACTGTTCTTGCTTCCGTGAGCACCGTATGCCTTATGTAGTTCATGGGCTCTCGAACAAGGTACAAAGCGATCTGCATCCTCCTCACTTGAGTGCATGGCTATTAACATCAACAAATATGGTGCTTAACGCATGATTCAAAAATAACAAACAAGTGTGGTTTTCCAATATGCGAACTAGAACTGTCTTTACCCAAATATAAGAGGAGTCCCAGCTTGCGTCATACATCCACATGCAGACTCAGACTCCACTGTCAGACCTACATAAAATGAAAGCATTGCATGATAAACAAGTTGATAAGCCGTCGTTTAATATCACACAAAATGGACATACTTACCGATGTAGTTGTTCTTGATCCTTTGAAGGATTTGTGTACGAAAACTCCGCAATCCTTGGTGGCGACAATCCCGGACCTTGTTCACGATAGAGAATCTTCCACGAGGCTTGTATAAATCTCATCTGTACAAATTAAGAAACGTTTGTATTTAGATATTCACATTTTTTTGTGTTATAACGGCAGAATGTCACAAATTTACCATTGTTTGAACAGATTGTAGTCGAAAGGAATTGCGGTCTTCAGTTGGTTGTGAATCCAAGATATGGACTTCTTCCTTGTCCAACTTAATGTCAGTCAAATACCAATGGACATTATCTCTCATCGGAACACATACCTACATATGTGGAAATTGTCAATATGTATTAAACAAATAAATTGCAAACCATGTAATACTTATTAAGACGAACAGTTTACCTTGCTCACCATAATGGTTCGACTAATAAATTTTGATTTGTATAGGTCTAATGCCCTCTTGGGTGTTATTCCACATGAAATCACTAGTTCCTGCCCATGTGGTAGTTGCACAATTGAAATTTTGTCAACACAATATCATTCACGTTAAAAAAACATGTGTTGTATTTTTTTGGTGACAGGATATTAATTTTAAGCAAAATCGGACCACAACCTGTAGTTCAGCAGGCAGATAGCACACTCCTTTTCCGTCCGTAGAATTTGTCCACAACTCTTCTAGAGTCAAGTGACAGGCCACCGCTGTTATAACCTAATACAACATGGACAAAAAACACTTCATGATACTATAGATTTTTTACAAAATAATTCTACGTAGAAAGCATTGATAGTGGACAAACAAAACAAAATTTTGGAGTTCCGTAGATTACTTCAGCATCTACGAATGAGCGAGGGCTTAAGGACCACAATGACTTCCTGGTACAAGAGTTGTTTGAGGTTTTGACCAATACTTCGTCAGGTGGCAGATTGACTAAAAATATATAGTGAGCAAGCTGGATTTGCTCATCATCGTATTCCATACCAGTACGTAGCTTAAACTTCAAAACAACCTGGAATAAGGACCACAAATAAACACGAGTCGAAATGCATTCATTATGTCTGACGGAATAACGACAAAGAACACTTCAATGGCAAATAGGATACCTTTATTACCTTGTCAACAGAACTTAGGGAAATACTTTTTTTCCATTTGGCTTCTTTGGTGTTACCTCAGAGTCAGATTCATTGTCCGAAATAAAAACGATGACTAAAACAAAGTGGATGGAGTGCTTACACCTTTGGGTAGCCTTGGTTTCTTTGTTTGAGTCACAAATTCATCGGTCTCCTTCAATGACAGTGAACCTACGATTAATAAATTAACTAGAATGAATTTCAATGACAGTGCTTACACCTTTGGGTAGCCTTGGTTTCTTTGTTGTATATTTTTTCCTCCATACGAACAAGAAACACATGAATTTTCAGTATATATATATATATATATATATATGGTGACTACTTCGGTGCACTCACAAAAATGAGTGCGTTCAATGCACCCAACTAAAAAACTACGCTTAAGGTGTCTGATTTTGAATTTTAATTTGTAGAATTAGTGTAATATGATGATAACATATGATAACAACTAATTAGCGAATTACCCTAAGCCCTAGACCTCCAATTTTGAGTTCTATCCCTAAACCCCAAATCGTAAACCCTAACTCTAACCCTAAATCTCTAAACTCTAAATCCTTCAAATTAAAGTAAATCTTTAATGGTTTTTGTGAAAATTCATGTGCGTTATTGTTTATCACATCATAAGTGATGATTGACATTATTTTGACATAAATCACATGTTTATAATGACGGTTATGAAGCGGGTGCACTGAATGCACCCAAAAAAGTAAGTGCACCGAAGACGCCACCATATATATATATATATATATATATATATATCAATTAAGAACTCTATTATTCACTAATACATGCAATTTCAGTTTTCAAACATATTTTACTCAAATACTTTTATATAACAATGGTCAATGAATGACTCCCTAAATTTCGCTTAGTTTTCAATGAAAGATGAGATGGTGTTAATTGATTTATGAGATCAAATATACCTCCATATTTTAGTTGTTCACTCACCTCTGTAAATGTTTACAAATTCATATTTTCCTATGAAATTTAGATAAAAAACTTTAAATCTCACACATTTAAAAGTAGGAGATGGAAACTATGTAAATAAGTGATTGCAAATTTTCTATTTTGAAACCCAAAACTGAAGGAATTTAAAAATTCTTATGGGCAAGTGATACCTTAACGTTGGATGTGGTGGTGAATGAACAACTAATACCAAACGTGGCCTAAAAAATTCCATCCACTATGAATTGCAAAAACAAAAACATCCTTCCCAAACCCAATTTATTACCAGTCAAATCTTATTTGGTAATATTACTTGAAGGTCATACCAATTAACGATTATTTAGTTTGAGTCTAAATTAGACCTATTACATTGGCTAAAAAAAAATCAACTCTAATGTAATTTTTGCAATTTTTTTTGGATAAAAAACATAAATGTGGAAACACCAATAATGAAGGTGTGAATTGGTTTAACGCGAATAGCTAGATGGTCGATATTTCTTTATAAGTATATTTATATGGACTCAAATATATTTAAATTGTGGGTTCGACCCAAATAAAAGTTTTTCTGCTCTAGCTCTCTTCTCAATTCCATAATTAGTAAATTAAAATAATTCGGCCAACAAGCCGGGTCAAAGCTAGTTGGTTGATATATGTGAAGAATAGCCTTACAAATCGCTCTAGAATAACCCTTAAAAAAAATTTGGTCAAAATCTATGGAAAATACATTCAAAATCGTCGAATAACAATAAGATATCTCAAATCGTGTTATGATTCGGTTTAATGGGGATAGTTATTAAGTGGCCCATTCAAGCATTAATTCGGCCATCATTCCCAGTAGGATTTTGTAATCTACATCGTTGGTTCCCCAAAATTTCCCGCAGTGACAATGACGTCGGAGGCAGACCCACCATTGACGTCGGAGGCAATCCTACTATTGACGTCGGAACCAGTCTAAGAAAACGGTGGTGTCGGAGCCAGTCACACCACCCAGGAAGATAATGTCGCCGATCTCATATTTCTACAGCTTGAAGATATTAAAAAAATGAAGTTCGATTATACAGAAGAAGCCTATGATTTCTACATGGACTACGGGTTAGTCAAATGCTTTGACATCAGAAAATCAGACATTGGTCGTGATAAGAACCAAGTTATGATATGGAGTGACTATGTCTGCTCTGGCGAGGGAAAGAGGCACAAGAAAAGCACAGAACGAAAGAGAGAAGCAAGAGGGGAGACCAGATTTAACTGCAGAGCCAAGATGCGTGTTAAACACGACAAGGTCGATGGGAAGTGGTATGTGCACCAGTTTGATGATGTACACACACATGAAACGATCCCCAGAGAATATAGACACTACATGAAAGGTAAACTTCGTATGAGTGATGTAGTCAAAGCAGCAATAAATTTTAGAAGAGCTGCAGGTATGAAAACTTCTCAAATTGTGAATCTGGCCGTATCAGAAGCAGGAGGCTACGACAATTAGGGGTACACGAGGAAGGATGCATATAATTATGTGGACAACGAGAGGAAAGAACAAATCAGTGAAGGTGATGCCGCAACAGCCCTAGCCTACCTGCAAGCTAAATGCAGCGCGGACGATCATTTCGTTATTGAACTAAAGAAGGATGACGACAACCGGCTTATTAACATCTTGTGGGCCGATAGTGTTTCTGTTGCTGATTATGCATGCTTTGGAGAATTACTGTCATTCGATGCTACTTACAAAAGGAACATTTACCATATGCCTCTCGTGATTTTTTCATGTACTTTTCCTTCACACATAGAATTATCCCGAGCATGCTAAAATAACCCTAGCAGTTTGCATAATCTAACTTATTTTGTACTTTTTTTAGGTGTCAACCACCATTCGCAAACTTGCGTATTTGCATGTGCTTTCTTGGCTAACGAGAGAGAGAAAAATTATATTTGGGTGTTGGGAGCTTTGAAGAGAAGGCTAGGCGGTGTAGATCCCAAGACTGTTTTTACATATGGGGATAAAGCAATGCGTAATGCAATTCATAAAGTATTTCCCGATGCAACACATCGTCTATATTCCTGGAATATAGACAAGACTATAACCAGAAATGTGAAGAATCATCCTACTTTTTTGCCCCGATGGAAGCATTTTGTGTCAGTTGATTGGGAACCTTCAGAATTCTAAGAAAAGTGGAAATCAGTGGTTGAGGAATGCTCCCTTCAGCACAACAATTGAGTCTCCAATTTATTTGCGCAAAGACATGAATGGGGATTTGCATATTTGCGTTCGAAGTTCTTCGTAGGCTTGAGTACAACATCAAGATGTGAAGGACTGAACTCTCAACTTGCCAATTATATCGAGAAGGATAAAAATCTCATTGAGTTCTTTATTCACTTTGATCGTTGGACTAGAGATATGAGGGAGAATGAGCGTCATGCTGATTATGAATCCATTCATCGAGAACGAACCATCACAAGCAATGTCTTAGTCTCACTTCAGAAGAGTGGAGCGGCGGTTTTCACAAAGAACGCATTCTTGTTATTCAAAGACGAGGTTGAAAAGTCGACATGTTGCATAAGGATGGAGTCAGAGCGATAGAAAATTGAGCGTGTGTACAAGGTCAAGGTGTCTGGCATGGATAGGGTTTTTTAAGTCACGTACACAGTTGAACCCTTTGCAATGGAGTGTAGTTGTAATCACTACGATTATATGGGAATACCATGCCGTCATATGATTTTTGTACTGAAAGAAGAGAGCATACTGGAACTTCCTGAAGGCCTAGTACGTCGAAGATGGTCAAAGAAGCCGAAGACACTAGAGAGCTTGGAGGAACCGGACAATAGATGAATCGCAACTTTTCGCATTGAGGTTTGCCATGACTATCAATTTTTTTTTTAATATTGGTTCGAAGCTAGGTGAACGTTAATTTTACTCACTTTGTATAAAATATTGTGTCAATCAGGTATGGTACTATTCAACAAAACAACTTACAACTAATGTTAAAAGGGGCAAAATCTAGTGAGTGCTTCAAGATTGCTCTTCAAGATTGCTCATGAGGGAATTCAATCATTATGTGAAAAGCTGGACATGGTGGACACTGGCAACGTGGACATACCCGACATTAATAGACCGAAGACGAATGATATTTTGTTGGATCCATTACAGGTCAAAGCTAAAGGTTCGGGGGCTAAAAAATCTAAAAGGAAGTAAGGAGAACCACGACAGTTTAGTAATTGCAGGGAATGGCGCCACTATAGGACCCGATGCCCACATCCTGTTCGCTATGTGAAGCCAACCTCAAACGGTGATGCCCCGAATGCTGGTGTTTCAGAAGAATGTGGCGGTGGCGATGACACTGATGTTGATCCTCCCACCACTCAAAATCAGTCGGAAACAGTACCGAAGAGAAGGCAAAAGCATTGAAGTAAGTGTGGTTCTACCAATCATAATGCAAGAAAGTGTACTGGGTTTGGGCCATCCGAGGATGAAAATGACGATGACGTTGATTCTCACAACGATTACGAGAAACCTAGGGTAAGAATAAAATATAATTGTTTGTGTGTACACAATGCAGTTGCATCCAATATTTTTGTCCGACTAAAATTGGCGTTATCGATTTTGCAGAAGAGGCATGTTACCAGAAGTAGCAACCTAAGGACCAGAGTTTTGGACACTTGAGTTCTTCGGAATGCGTGTGTAAAAGGGCTGCAAGTATTTGATCAGTTTTGAAAACTTGAAGTGAAGATGGAAGTCCTTATCTTATTCGGATTAGGATTATGTGAAGACTGCCACTGTCAGCTTGTAGCGGCGTCGTTTGGTTTATAAGAAGACTGATACCTTCTGCGGTCTCGTTTTATTTATGTGTCTCTTTGGTTTATCAGAAGACTGCTAGTTTATAAGAAGACTAGAAGATTGTTGTCTCCTGCGGTGTCGTTTTATTTATGTGTCTGTTTGGTT